AATTACATGGGAACGCTTTTTATTTTGCATGCGATTCCGTATTCCAAATTCAAATATATTCAATGTAAGGTATATATCTACAAAAATTACGTGTGTGTGTAATCACTATTAAAAGCTACTTGCATTTTTTTTAATAGCAAAAAACGTGTTCTTAATTAATATTTTAAATATGTATAAAAATACGTTTGTTTGTTTATTTGTATTGTACCTTTACCTCTCTTTGGTATGTACTCTCTGAGATGTGAGAAGGACATAGTTTATTTTTTATCTTAGTCAATCTATATGATCAAAGTCGTAGAAAGAAGCTAGTATTAATTATATTCTTTATACATACTCTATACTCGGCGAGCTATGGAGAGGGAAATACTTGGAGTTTCTTTGCGTGATAGAATCCGAAACAAAAATCCGATATATGCAGAAGAAACAAAGTGACTTACACAGGCTGAAGGATAAGCAAATTAAAGTGGCAACTGGCTGGTCATGTAGTTCGAAGAGCGTACAACCGATAGGTAAGAAAAATAACTTTTCGACTCTGAAAATGGTAGTCAATTTGTAATAAATAATGCCTGAATCGATTTAACATAATAGCGCGTCTTCCGAAGCCCATTAGCGTTAACAAAAGGACGTAAGTACTTACATTATATCCAGTTTCGATATTATAATGAAGCGAGACGTTTGTAATTAGATTGAAGTCACTGGTTATTTGATTACAATTATTTTGTTTAATTCCGTTGTTAACTGCCAACTAGAGATAACAATCCCGGGATCCTGACTGACAAAGGCTGTTACATATGCAGCTCAATTATATGTAAATGTTTTATTTTATTTATTTATTTATTTATAGGAATATAGAAAGCATATTGCATTATAACACATATAACAAACATTAATTACAATACAATATTAATGCACATGCTTTTTAAAGGTATTCACAGTATTTGTTTAATCTTGAATGTATTGTATAGTCGTAAATTAAAACAAAATAATTAAAAAATTTTTAATGACCACAGACGTAAAAAAAAAAAAATATTAAATGAAATAAAATTCTCTACTGCCAACACTGGAACTTTGACCACCACTATTATTGCTGGAAGTTCCACAACCTCCCATATTAGTCCTCGATATCCAACTACGGTACCCAAACTATCGAACAGTTAAAACTAGGCTCCGAGTAATTATCCAATAATCTGCACGAAGATACCTCCTTTAAAGGTGAAATATGTGTCGCAAAATGTGCGTAGACGAAATGGCAATCGGAGATGCGATACGAACACAAGGCGGACAACTTCTGTGCAGTATTCCCCTAGGCTCCTTTAGACACAGAGTACAGTACGCATTAGCCTGTAAAAGTCCCTTGGGACTTTTTTCCGTAAGCTGAAATTCTCTGTTGTATAAGTTATAGCTATGAATATTCGTAGGACAAAAAAGTATACGTCGAGGATTGATTCTCACTTACACAGATCTTTATATCAAGATGAAACAAGCATTTTACAAAACCATATTTCAGGAAAGTCACGATTTTTTCCCATGAGAACAAATAATTTATTGAAGAAATAAAAGTAATGTTTATATATATATATATATATATATATATATATATATATATATATATATATATATATATATATATATATATATATATATATATATATATATATATGTACGAGCTTTTTATTTGAAATTTTTTACGCATGTATTTTTGAAGTAGGCATCCATTTTTAGATTATATATTAGGACAAAACATACACTAGGTTTCAAATCAGATTTTCAGCAAAACAACTGTATTAAATGTATCCAATTGGGTCAAGTATTTTTTATGTGATACTTGAACAAACATACACAAAGATTACATTTTAAAAACTCCTGTTTTTTGGCTTAAGAATAAATATCTCTTTATTGTTATGGAAAACCATAATAAGAACCCTCTCCTTTTATTATTGGTGATATTAATTTTATTCTATTAGTAAGATATCTCTCCCAGAGTAATAACATCGAGGAATGTTCCCTCTTAATATTTGACCAACTTTTCTCATCACCTCGAATCGAAAATATCTGTAGCATCGAACGTTTACTTCATTTTGTTTGTTACATATAACTTTTTATGAAAATATTAAATTCGATGTCATTTTGGAATAATGAACATGTTTGAGAACATAAAAGTTATACTACTTTATGTTAAAAAAGTGGATCTTGTAAACCTCCTCCCCCCTTAGGGGGGGAAAGGGATTGTTAGCAATGGAGTTTGACAGCCCCATTGCTAGCAATATACCTTATTAGGTCGACCTCCACGTGGTTCCCCCTGGAAACCATCGTGAACAAATCTTTTTGAATTCGTCACGATGGGCTAACTGACCTACTTCATCCTCACCTATCATCCTTCACTGGTGCCCCGCCTGTGGATATCGATAGCGCGGGCGGGGTTACCATTCCATTATCATCCATTAAAAAAAAACCTCCTCTCCCCCGACCCCCTCCGATTTCAATCGCACTAAACCCAGTTTTTTTAGATTAAAAATCCAAACTGCTGAACTGACTGGGATCAATGTCTTAATTTGGTCATACAGAGGGAGACTTTGTACCACAGGGAGACTTTGTACAAAAGTCGATTGCTTGGGTACCTCTGTCCCATTCGTGTTTCAACCGTGAAGCAGTTGTGTTTGCATGGCTGTGTTTCGGTTTGAAGGGTGGGATATGGCGTGAATTTACTGGGTACAGAGGAATAACACCTGAGTCCTCAGGAATGGCAACGCATGGGGGGTATCATGGGTGAAACAGTATACTCTGTTATATCCATGGTACTGCTTATGTCTATAGGCGACGGTTACCACTTTCCATCAGGTGCGCTGTCAGCTTGTTTGCCATTCTAAGTTGTTAAAAAAAAATACAGGATAGAATAGAATAGAATAGAATAGAAATCATTTATTCAAATAAACTTACATTGAAGCACTTTTGAAAAGTCATTACATTTTTTTTAATTTACCGCTCGTTCGGAAAGCTGTCTCATCACAAGAAGAACGAGCAAGAAACTTGCGTGATGCTCTTTTAAATAATTTTATTATTATTTTACATTTTTAAGTTTAATTGTGTGAATACAAACTACCAATTAGCACTAATTCAATTAAATACTCAAAAAGAAAAAAAAAATTGAATACATAACCAACTGGTTAAACAATTAATAAGAGGAAATCAGTCATAGTGATTAGAGCAGACCAGTCCCTACAAGCAGCACCCGTTCACGAGTATGACGGATGAGCCAGCCATCACTGCGCTCGACCATATTTTAGGGAGCCCAATGACCCGGCCCACCACGCCGCCACAAGTCTGGACATTTTAGTGAGCATGACTACTCAAAACACTAGACCACGTCAAAGCTACTCACAATTGCCATCTGATAGTTATAGTATTCACATTTTACATAAGAATGCATGCGGCAATTAATACAAAAAACCGCTACGCTTTCATATTTCTAAAATTAATCAATTAAATCAAGAAAGCAATGAGAAAATAAAATTATAACGTTGTATGCTACAGGGTTACACTTTGGGTTCGTTGCACGCGTCCGTGTAGCTCAACTTCAGACTGTAGCTGAAAATCAGTGCTTTGCTTTTAAGAAAAACTATCACTGAGCTGTATCCTGTTTGGGTCACTGCGACACACACGGCGAAAACATATTTTCTTATTTTATCTTTTATTTTATATTTAAAAAAGTACAATTAATTTGATTGTATGAACCCATTTGTTAATTTACGTGTCTCATAAATGACTCAAATAAAGTATTCTTTTATCTATCTATCATATCCTTTCAGAAAATAAAGAATTTACCAAATATTTATTTTACATATATAAATATTTAAAATAATCACAAGGGAATTCCCAATTGGGAACGTCCTTCATTTTAAAGTCGACTGAAAATTACATAATATTTTAAGCCCTCTGAACTGGTTAGTATGGGAGATTCAAAAATCTTTTTGTTTGAATTTCTGATTAATGAAATTTATGTATTAATTTATTCTGTTGTATGAGTGATTTCTTACCTTCAACCTATTTTAGCTATTGAATTGCTTTGTCTCTTTCTTTCGTGATACATTAATTAATTTTATGCTAAATTAATGGTGTTTTAACCTAATGATTAGCTGGTAAAGACAGCATTAAGCTCGCCATTTGTATAAATATTGAGTAAAAAAGAATAAATAAGGTGAATAAATAGAGGTGAAAGGGGGGAAAGGGATTGTTAGTAATGGAGACTGAGAATCCCATTGCTAGCAATATACCCAACCAGGTCGACCTCCTCGCGGTTCCCCCTGGAAACTATCATGGTTAATTCCTGATGAATTCATCATGATGGGCTAACTGGCCTGTTTTCATTCTCATCTATTACCCTTCACTGGTGTTCCGCCAGCGTTCCCCGTTAGCGCAGGCGGGGTTGCCATACCATTTTCACCCATAAAAAAAAATAGAGGTGAAATTGGAGAACGGGAATTTATTACTATACTTCATCATCATCATCATATCGACCTTTAACTATTGGCGGGTTTTGCCAGTAGTTGCCACGCTAGGCAGGTGAATTGGCAACCGCAGTTTGGCTTTTGGTAATGTTCTAAGAGGAACGGTGCTGCTCATTCCTTGTCCTCCCTTAGTTGCCTCTTACGACACCCACGGGAAAGGAAAGGGGTGACCTATCCTGTGCTGAGATCAAGACTAGGACCGGAGTCACCAGTGTTACTTAGAATGAAATTTCTGAACGAAGCCAAAAACAATTGTAGGCAGCGTTACCAACAGTAAGTATGGTACAGATATAGTAAGTATGTATTAAAAGTACAAGCAGAGTAAGTTACAACTCCCGTCTATGTTATAAACTGCCATAAGAACGGCCAAGTTTTTTATGACAGCCTATGAGGGAAGCCTATGTTTAGCAAAGAATATTAACAGCTGATATCATGTCGATGATGTCCAGTTATATATAAATAGATGATAACGGTGGTGATGATGAAGATACTCACCACTCATGAAGTTGTAGATGAGCGGGTTGACGGCGGAGTTGGCGTAACACATCACGTGCGATATGAGGGCAATGCACGTCATCACATCCGTTTGTTGAACGTCGTAAGCCAATCTGCGGGGTAAAAATGATCATTAGCGTCAAGGGCAATAATAATAATAATAATAGTTTTTGCTGAATGTCACCGTACTGCATGATGAGAACCTCGTGAAAGCCGAAACCGAGAAAAAGAAAAAATATCTCGACCTGGCTCACGATGTGACTGAAATATGAGGGGTGACGTCCACTGAAATCATTCTAATCGTTTTGTCGGTGAACGGTCTTATCCCAACCAGCCTGGAACAACATCTCAGACGGTTGAGATTCCGAGGCGGCTCACATCCGGGAAAGATGCAGAAAGCGGTGCTCTTAGATACCGCCCGCATTGTATGCCGGTTTCTCGCCCTGGGCCCCTGAACCCCGGCCGACTGTCCTTCTGCCGGGGATTAGTTACCATCTCCACTTCTTAAGAGGGGAGACAAGAATTTTTGTAAAAATTAAAATTAAGAGATTGTTAGTAATGGAGACTGAGAATCCCATTTCTAGCAATATACCCAACCAGGTCGACCTGATAATTCCTGACGAATTCATCATGATGGGCTAACTGGCCTATTTTCATTCTCATCTATCACCCTTCACTGGTGCTCCGCCAGCGTATCCCGTTAGCGCAGGCGGGGTTACCATACCATTTTTACCCATAAAAAAAACCCTTTCTATTCCCGTGGGTGTCCTAGGAGGCGACTAAGGGAAGACGAGGGATGAACAGCAGCATCCCTCTTAGATTCCCTCTAAAGTTTGACTGAGGTTGCCAATCCGCCTGCCAAGTGTAGTAATTACTAGCAAAACCCCCCCAAGGGGTTAACCCCTTAGATCTTTTAAACTACGCAACGGATATTCATGCGGTTTGCATCAATAGATACAGTGATTCAAGAGGAAGGTTTATACATACAATTTAATATTGTTTTGTATTTATTAATTTGTTGAAATATGTCGATAATTGTTTAAGATTTTTTACCGAAGGTTTTCCAAGAGACTAAATCGTCGGGTTCTTCAAAAGGGGAGGTAAAAAGATTTGTTCTGGATCGGCAACGCGCGCGTAATACCCCTAGTATTGCAAGCGTTCATAAGCTATGGTTACCGCTCACCATCTGGTGGGCTGTATGCTTGATTGTCACCTCAGTGGTATAAAATAAAGATGTTCGAAGAAATCAAGTCGACTGACTGAGAGCTTTCATCGAAAACGCTGTCTAATCCGTTTGAGATATAACAAAATAATGTATGGTGGGGTTATTTCTCTTTCTTAAGTCAACAAAAAAGGTATGGTATATGTCTATCTTTTAAGGATAGTTTACTATATCTACTTTAATTCATACTCGACACAAAAAGTTGAGACAAAAAAGGAAAGCATATATGCTCTGCAATTCGTGCGAAGCCGGGCCATGTCACTAGTAGCAAAAAAGAAAAGAATGTACATAAATACTAAGTAGCAATGGCATTTTGTATACAGACTTTAAACTAATTTACCTCTAATGAAAAATATTTAAGCAATTTTACAAATTGAATTTATTTATGCGAAGATTTCGCTTTCTGGCCGAATGTTCTGAGCATCTTAAACAGATTTCTTTTTTTATACAACTTAGAATGGCAAACAAGCTAACGACCCACCTGATGGAAAGTGATAACCGTCGCCTATAAACATGAGCAGTACCATCGACATAACAGAGTGTACTGTTTCGTCCATGATACCCCCATGCGTTGCCATTCCTGAGGACTCAGGTGTTATTCCTCTGTACCCAGTAAATTGACGCCATATCCCACCCTTCAAATCGAAATACAGCCATGCAAACATAACTGTTTTACGGTTGAAACATGAATGGGATAGAGGTACCCAAGCAAACGACTTTTGTACAAAGTCTCCCTCTGGTAAAAATTCCGATAGAATACCGGAAAATTAGGTAAGAGATAAGCGCGCGGAACAAAAACTTTGCCGTTAATGATCTAGTGTCGAAGCGTTCAGGTGGAGTTCTCAAGTAAGTTCACAAAGCGCGGCGCGGTGAGCAAAACTCAATATAAAATTTGGTCGACAACAGTTTTAAAAGACCACACCAGTTTAAACAATGTTATTCACACTTAGAAATGAGAGAAATATGTGATTTTGAATTAAATTCATTAAGGGAATTTGGAAATAAGATGGTTTTTATTCGGGTAATTTTATTGTAAATATGCCATGTGACCAATCTAGGATCGATTTTTACATTTCTGTTTGTTGTCGGTTAGGTTTGGTGTTAGCAGACCAATCCGTCATACTCGTGAACCGGTGTTCACGAATATGACGGATGGACCAACTTAATTAATGGAAGCTTCACTGGTAATACTTACTGTTATAAATGTAAAAGTTTGTTTGTTACCTCTTAGCGACTCAATGTCTCAACGAATCGTTATAAAATATGTTATACTAACTCAAGTATTGCTGATGAAAAGAGACAAAAGTAGGTTATATTTTATCTCTGCCAATAAATAAATTACCGACCGTTCTTTATGGCAGTCTATGGGGTAGACTTATGTCCAGCAGTGGACGGATAATGGCTGAAATGATGATGACGATGAATAAATATATAAAGGTCACACGGACGAAGTGGCGAGTCAAAACTTGTATTATAAAAAAATATATACATCCAAAGCACATAATAAGAATGCTTCCAGCGAAAATATTCAGACATTAATTTTAATTTGAAGAGAAACAGCAGCCGTGTCTCAAATAAACGCAGGGCTCGTCTCACGAACCTCGTATTTTATTTATTAGCTTATTTACCTTCACAAAGTTAGTCGAACAATACATAATTCTCATTTAAATATTGTCATCTAACCACTATTAGAAAATTATACACAAAATTAATTTAATCTGAATTATACAAATTAAAAAAAGTCCAATGTAAATTTACTTTACTGTGTGTTCAAATACGTATTTTATGTTTTATTATTTCAGCCGTTAATTGCTGAACATAAGCCTCCCCTTAGGAGGGCTTTGCCAGTAAATGCCACTCTTGGTAAGTTTTTTGTTATTTTTTTATTTTTTTTTATACACCTTAGAATGACAAACAAGCTGACAGCGCACCTGATGGAAAGTGGTAACCGTCGCCTATAGACATGAGCAGTATCATGGACATAACAGAGTATACTGTTTCACCCATGATACCTATCAATGGGTTGCCATTCCTGAGGACTCAGGTGTTATTCCTCTGTACCCAGTAAATTCACGCCATATCCCACCCTTCAAACCGAAACACAGCCATGCAAACACAGCTGCTTCACGGTTGAAACGCGAATGGGACAGAGGTACCCAAGCAATCGACTTTTGTACAAAGTATCCCTCTGGTAATAGTGAATAAGTGGATTGGCAACCGCAGTTAGGCTTTGGAGATGTTTTAAGAAAACGCTGCTGCCCCTCTCTTACCCTCCCTCAGTTGCCTCTTACGACACCCACGGGAAAGGAAATGGTGGCCTATTCTATGCCGGGATCACATGGGAAGTATTTACTATCAATAAATTATTATAAAATTCAGATTTTGCTAATAATATAGATTTTATAAATGAATTTAGTATGTAATTAGATTTATATTACATTTACATTATCCCTTCTTTGCATAATGGTGGAAATTTCCATTATAACATTGAACGCCCAAAAATTATATAAAAGACCAAGTTCACTTTAAGTTGATCGTGTCTGGGTACCTTTTTAATGTCCATTGCAGAAAAAAAACATAGCTGTCAAATTTATTTATTTAACCATTTCTCCTTTAATTTTTAACATGAATTATATCACTTTGATTTATTTTACCAATAAAAAAAAATCATGTAAAGAAGTGTTAAATTATAATTATTAAAAAATAAAATTTAGTGAAAAAAAGTGTTTTTAATTTAAATAAAGTGTATAGAACTAACATGTATTGAAAAAGAGATTGTAAAAAGAGAAATTATCACAATAGTTGAGCATTAACAAATATATTGTGTAATGTATTATCAATCATCATCATATAAGCCGTTAACTGTCTACCGCTGAACATATGCTTCCCCATTAAAGGGGGGTATTGTTAGTAATTGCCAAGATTGGCAAGCGAGTTGACAACTGCAGTTAGGCTTTTGGCAATGTTTTAAGAAGGATGCTGCTGCCTATTCCTCAACCATTAAGTTCCTTTAGGACAATCACGAGAAAGGCAACGCATGAAGGGTATCATGGGCGAAACAGTATACTCTGTTATGTCCATGGTACTGCTCATGTCTATAGGCGACGGTTGCCACTTTTCATCAGTTGGGACGACAGCTTGTTTGTCTTTCTAAGTTGCATAAAAAAAAAATTAAAAAAAGGAAGGGACCGCCCATTTTACGCCAGGATCACAGAGATCTTGCTCTGTGATCCTGGCGTAAAATGGGCGGCATAAACAATAAATAATAATAAATTTTTACCTGAGTACAGACAGAAGATGCACTGGAAAGTAGCAGACAGCGAACATGACCACAACTGCTACCAACATCTTGGCGGCCTTTCTTCTAGAACGAAGTTGTCCCTCTGTCGATGCGTTGGCGTGGATTGAAGGCGTTGTCCTTCTATTTGCTGCTAACCCTATGAAATAGGGAATGCTTGGTAACAGGTACTAGCGACTACATTGTTTTTACCAACGGTACTTGATGTTACTACATTATTATGTCAGTATGTATTTTTTTTTATATAACTTAGAATGGTAAACAAGCTGACGGCCCACCTGATGGAAAGTAGTAACCGTCGCTCATAGACATGAGCAGTATCATGGACATTACAGAGTATACTGTTTCGCCCATGATACCCCCCATGCGTTGCCATTCCTGAGGACTCAGACATCTGAGTACATTATTCCTCTGTACCCTGTAAATTTACGCCATATCCCACCCTTCAAACCGAAACACAGCCATGCAAATACAACTGGTTCACGGTTGAAACACGAATATGACAGAGATACCCAAGCAATCGACTTTTGTACTAAGTCTCCCTCTGGTATTTATGTTGATTTTATTTCTTAGTATAAAATTTTTATGTTGTTTTATTTTATATTAAAATATTATTTCTCCTGAACAAAATAGGTTTAAAATAGTTTATAATGTAATAAGTATTTGTTTTAGATTTCTTTTTAGTCTAAAAAGCGCGAACAAAGTTAGACGATCTTGTAATATATATAGATGGAGGCAAGAATGAGCCATTCTTGTCTAGCTCAAACAGCAGTTCTCTCCAATCAAAATCTATTTTATACATAACACTTAATGCGGTATGCATTAGAGAAATAAAGCAAAATAAACTGCTGCTAACAATTTTAGGTCGAAAGGAAAGGAACCGTTGGTAATAGGCTCTTAGCGATAAGGCCGCCCATTGTTTTCCCATTGTGATTATTTCTTGTAATTGTTTATATTTATAATAAGTTTACTATTGTAATCTTTTGGAGGAAACAATAAAGAGTATCTATATATCTAGGAAATAATGGGGGAGATTTATTTTCTAGTTTTTTTTTTATTTTCTAGTACCTGTGATGAACTTAATTATATTTAAAAAGCGCAGAGAGAGTTTAATGATCTAGTACCTTGTGGGGGCATGTACTGATTTCATTCCTACCTAGCTCAGGCAGCAGTTTTGTAAACTGTATAAGTTACTATAGCTTTTTAACTATCCCACGGGAAGTCTTTGATTTTACGAGACTAAAAGTATCTAAACTGTTGACCGGTGATGTAAGGTAACACCATGATAAATTTCACTAAAATCAGTCTAACCGTTTCGGAGATTAGCCCGTGCAAACAGACAGAGAGACAAAAAAATTTAAAAAAACATCTGAATGTGTTCTACATCACTTCTATCATCCTCTTGATTCGATTTTAACCGTTTTTTTTTCTATGTACAGATATTCGACCTCTACAGTTTTATTACATGTATAGATGAATGAGTATAAATGAATGAGTATACTTTATTTTCATTATACAGTATAGGAAATAAGCAAGACAATTTACAAACACAACGATACAATTGTATAAGTACAGTGAGGCGGTCTTATTGCTGAGAGCAATCTTTTCAAGACAACCTTAAGGTAATGGACTAATTGTTGTACAAGTAGGTATGATAGTGCTGTATAATTAAAAAAGCATTTTTATTTCCCATTTATATTTTAGTATCTGTGGTGAATTTAATTACATGACATATGTATTTAAAACAGTTCGAATCAAGATGAGTGATTTATGCGGAACAAATTAAAGGAACGCAACGATGGGTGGTTTGTTTGTTGTTGTAATGGTTTGTTTATGTTAAAACAACTTAATCGGGTCGGGTAGGGTTTTAAACTTTTCTCATAATAATAATTTCCCGAGCGTAGATTATAATAAGTGTGTTTAATAACTTATTCTGATGAAATATACATATATATTTATAATTTAAAGTTTGACCATTTGTATGTACAAATGTATTTGTACCTTTATGTGCATGTTTGTTTTTTTTTTATATCAACATAGTAAACAAAAAGAGGCATAACTTTTATTATAAAGTTTACAGTATTTTCAACCGACTTCAAAAAAGGAAGTTTCAATTCGGTTGTATTGTTTTTATATTTGTCACCTCATAACTCCGTCAGTTATAAACTGATTTGGAGAACTCTTTCTTTATCCAAAAGGTTAATTTTACAGATTTTTTACAACACAGCGAGCAATCGAGCATGCGGCTCACTTGATGGTAAGTGACTACCGCCGCCCATGATCACCCATAACACCAGCGGCATTGCAGGTATGCTGCCGGCCTTTTAAAAAGGAAAATACTATTTTCTTGAAGGTTATGGTGTCGTCAAAATTTTTACAAAATTATTTAAGTTGTTTGTTTTGTAAATTAAAATAACAAAGTTTGCTACAATTTAAGGCGATTTTTTTTTGTGGATACAGTAATAAATTATTAAATTAATAGTCATTGTTAGAAAAAAAAAACTAATAAGAATTATGAACTGTATGTTGATGTATTTAATATCTTTTGAAAGGAAAATAATTATAATAAAGAAAATTACAGAAGACAGACTAAGAAAGCGACAAAGAGCAAAATTTAAAAACAAAATCTGTAAAAGAACTAAGAAGTTTACAACAGTCAGGAATTTGTTATAATAATTTGGCCATTATTTATAATGAAATTTGTCACTATTATAATGGTTTGTCTGATATTTATTATAACAATTTGTCAGGTATTTATTATAACAATTACTTTTATATATATATTATAATACTTTGTTAAATATTTATTATAACAATTTGTGGAAGAATACAAATATTTTTATTTCAATAATATCTAACTTACAGTTATTCTGTCCAGCGGTGGGAGTGGCGCAGAGTTTATGGGATTCCGTGTGGCCAGGTATGTTGTCAGACCTCCATAGCACCCTCACGATTTGACAGTACGCTATCATCATGAGTAGTAGCGGAAACCTGGTGGAAGATAAATCGATTATCCATATAAATTTTTTAAGCTGAAAAGAAATTTAAGTAAGAATTTAAGTAAATTTAAGAAATTGATGAGTAATACATAAGAAAGGTCATAGAGCCTCTGCTAATTGAAGTCACTATTCAAATGTTGGCAGTCGCACCCGTACTAATGGTAGCGGAATTAAGTAAAAAACAAACATATTTATTAGTTACTACACTAGAATTATTTATACATCTTGGAATAACAATCAAGTAGATCATAAAGCCTACTAGTTATAGAAAATACTCAAATGTTGGCAGTCGCACTCCTACTAATGGTAGCGGTAATGTTTATATATTTAGCGTGGTAATCTTTATATATTATATGCGTATTTCTAGATATACAGACAATGTTTTTCAAGAAAACATTGCTTTGGCATTTATTAGTCTTAATAAGACCTTTCATATTAAATTCTCCTTAAATATCTCTCATGTACACATATCGTCTATTTATAACTTTATTATATTAATAAGATACATATCGAGTAGTAGTGAAGCTATATTGTTTAATACTTCTTGAAAGTTCTTAATAAACCTTATTAAGTATTAAGAACGTCGAGAGGCAAACAACGCTAGCCTTATTATGCCGAGAAGCGAGAGATTTTGCTTGCTATTCAACAGGATAAATTTAAATATTCAATGACATTATTTTAATGAATTTCAAGTTTATAAATTAAAGTATTGTTTATGTAAAGGATTAATTATTACCAACTCGTCTACCAAGCGTGGCAACTATTGGCAAAATCCTTCCAATTGTGAATTGGCATAAAGAATACCCCTGTTCCTTATAGGGGAAGTCAATGTTCAACAGTGGACAGATAACGGCCGGTATGATAAAAGGATTAATGGGGTCACAGTTGTAATCCAAGATGTGATAGTCAGCGGTATTCGTCAACTAAAAACATTATGATAGCGTGAAGTCCCCGCGGTATTATTCGTGGTAGAGGTCAACTATCCAAAATATGGTTCAAGTAAATGCAAGGCCAAACGACAATGACAGATTTGAAGTTTTTTTTTTTATACAACTTAGAATAACAAACAAGCTGACGGCCCACCTGATGGAAAGTGGTAACCGTCGCTTATAGACATGAGCAGTGCCGTGGACATAACAGAGTATACTGTTTCGCCCATGATACCTATCAATGCGTTGCCATTCCTGAGGACTCAGGTGTTATTCCTCTCTACCCTGTAAATTCACGTCATATCTCACCCTTCAAACCGCAAAAAGATTAATACGACTGCTGTATACGGATAGATATAAACGTTGTGGCAAATATATGAAACTGGAACTGGGAGGTGAGAGCACTTAGGAATCGAAATTGATAAGAGATGAATCGACTGTTTTTCGATATCGATCGATTAATCGATTCAATTATATACGAGCATTTAAACTTTTATGTAGAATATAAAAATACACATATGACGGATTTTAAACTAGAAGGTGTTCTCTACTGGTAGATATTAGACATAGTCGTGACTCAGTTTTGATATAATTTTCCAAAGGATTAAGAACTTAAATTTTTTTTCTACAACTTAGAATGGCAAACAAGCTGACGGCCCACCTGATGGAAAGTGGTAACCGTCGCCTATAGACATGAGCAGTGCCGTGGACATAACAGAGTATACTGTTTCGCCCATGATACCCCCCATGCGTTGCCATTCCTGAGGACTCAGATGTTATTCCTCTATACCCAGTAAATTCACGCCATATCTCACCCTTCAAACTGAAACACAGCCATGCAAACACAACTGCTTCACGGTTGAAACACGAATGGGACAGAGGTACCCAAGCAACCGACTTTTGTACAATGTCTACATGGGTACGGTTTTTCCACTCATATTTCCGTCACGAAGTAGCTGTGTTTACATGGCTGTAGTTTGGTTTCAAGTATGGGATATGACAGCGATATTACAGGGTATGCAAATATAAAATTTTAGTCCACAAATGTAAGAAGTTATTTTTATTTAAAACTTAATCTGCTGAAACGACTTTGATAAAAATTCTGGAGCCAATCTGTAAGTATATCCCATTAAGATAAGAAAATCTTTTCTAAATCGGTTTACAACTAATGAAGTTATGAGTTAATAAACATTAAAAAACATACAACCCCTCTCGTTTTGAAGTCGGTAGAAAAAGAATATTGACATTTTATACAGTTCTCCAGTTACTACTTTAGGTGACGTTTTAAGATTACGACTTACGTGTAAAGAAAAAGCGCTTTTATGATGTGCCAATTGAGGTCACTGTCGTCTGACCACGTCGAAGCACACTGCATGAAGTACTGCACATTGAAACGGAGCTGCATCTTCCTTTGCACTTGTAGCATCACGAATTCTGGTATGTCTGTGAAGTAGACGATTTGTTAAGGCCACAGTGTAAAGATCAAGAAACAGATTACAGTGAGTTAACTATTTTGAAGTTGTTAAAAATATCAGCGAACAACTTACAGAATAAATTAATCAAGTAGCCTAGTAAGAAGACAAGGGTTTTCATGTATTTGTATTCGCAGTAATTAGGTATGATAAAAAAATTTAAAAAACTGTTGATAGAATAGTAATGGTCAACATGTTGCTATACACACACTGACGGGATATCAGTGATGGACGATAAGGCAAGGATGAACATAGAGAAGCCATCGTGTTAAATTTACAAGCAACCAATAATGAAAATTTCTAGAGGGTCACGTGGAGATTCCAGAAGAATTTATAGTTAGAATCGTTATCATTCTTGTTGCTTCCTGAGACAGAATGAGATTATAAAATATCTGGTATTTTGTTATTTTTTTTTTCTTGGAATGATTTAATAAATTGATTTATTTGCCAATTGTCTAATTATAATTGATTTATTTGGTATACATATGCTAGTAATATATTTTAAAGTTAGTATGCTAGTAATAGTTTGGTATAAATATGTTATCAACATGCGTGTTTTGCTAAAACAATGGCATGCAAAATTTTAATATTTATAGTAATTTTTTCAAATACTAATAAAAAAATATTATGTATGTACTTAAAAAGTGTAATTTTTTCTAGACTAACAAGTCCTTAATTGAATAATAATAGGAGATTTCATCCTTCCACCTCCCTACCCGTATATCATTTCTCCCCCAAAGGATGGCATTTTAAGCCGAGGGCCGAGCTGTGTTCTGAGCCTTTATGCAAGTCTTGAGTTTTAACTACTTCATAAATTCATTCGCGGATTTATTCTAATTTATATAGTCCATCAGTCAACAGTGATTAGAGACCTTTGAAAAGAAAAAAACAGCAAGACAGAAAATATAAACACTGAGAATCTTGGAGGGTTCATACAATAATCATGAAATTTTGAACACGTGACACGAATAAGTACTTTCTTTTTCGGTCAATGAGGTCGGTAAAGTGGTGTAAATTGCGAGAAAAGTGAATGTATGTATAATCGGAGTAGTATATAAGAGGTCTAGCTGACCCGACCTCGTTCTATTCTCAATAGATTTGTTTGTAATGTCTTTGTAAATTGACAAAAAGGTATTGGAGATATAGAAAAACTAGAAAATTTCTAAAGAAGTTTGTGCCTAATAGGAGCGTATATAGATAGATAGATACTCTTTATTGTTTACACCAAAAGATTACAATAGTAAACTTATTTTAAATATAAACAATTACAAGAAATAATCACAATGAGAAAACAATGGGCGACCTTATCGCTAAGAGCGATCTCTTCCAGGCAACCTTTGGATGGAGAGGAGTAATTATAAACAATTTGGTGGGAGGCACGTTGAAAAATTTTGTTAGTTCTAAATATGGGAGATGTGATACATATAATAATATAAATATTATCCCTACTCATTATTATAATGTTCTTTATTTACTTTCATGTCATGATTTTACATTGTATCCTGTCAATCATAGATTATGATTGTTCCAGTTTGGGATATATTTGTTCTTAATTTAAAATTACTTTAATGTTTTTAATATTGAATTTTTGAGACAATTTTCACCATTGACGATATGGTTACCAAATTAGTAGTAGGAATGTCCTAGGAGTCGATCGCGACCAACTAGTTAAGCGCCTTAACAATGATTATTTTTAATTTTAGCTTGAAGAAGTGTGACAATTATCTGTCATTTATTAAAAATAATTTAATAGTAAAAGTAAAGGAACAGAAGTTGACAATTACTTGAGGTGAAAGAATAATTTATAACACATAGAAAAATAAATAATTGAGGCGTATCATGTGTAAACATTATACGTAAATATTAATTTTATTATATTTCTATTTCTATAAATACTTACTGAAAAGAAGTGATAGCAGCCATATAATAAGTATGGCGGTCTTGGCTCGTCCAGTAGTGGACTTGAACTTGAGCGGGAAGCAGATGGCGTACCAGCGGTCCACCGAGATGAAGGTCAATGTCAGCACGGACACTGTCACTGACACCGACTGAAACAACAAAAAATACATTCATTTACACACTAAACCATAAAATGGTCCCGGCATAGAATGGACCACCCTTTTCTTTTCTGTGGGTGCCATAAGAGGCGACTAATAAAACTAATGTTGAAGAAAAGTGCAGTAGCGTCCCTCTTAAAACATCTGTAAAAGTCTAACTGCGGTTGCCAATCCACTTGCCAAGTATGGCAACTACTGGCAAAACTCCTCTTATGGGGTAGGCTTATGTTCAGCAGTTAAGAGCCGAAATAATAATAACACACTAAACAATTACTTGAATGGCAAACGTGCATGGTGTTAGTCGATCACGCACGGGCTTTTAACGACCATGTAATTTTAGACATTTAAAAAAAAATACACATAATGTTAATAGAGATTTAAAAGAGTAACTGTTGAGTTTCTTGCTGACTCTTCTCAAGAGATAACAACTTTGTGAATACTGCGTTTATAAAAAAATTAACTAAACGGGCTTGTATGATAAATCTTAGGTTACATGTTTATTTTTATTATTTACCTAATTTTCTCGCACTGTGTTAGTATGTTAAAGTGAATGTTGTGAATACCTATAATAGACATGTGCATTAATATTGTATTGTATTTAATGTTTGTTATATGTGTTATAATGCAATATGCTGTTGGTGTTCCTTAAATAAATATTTTTTTTTAATGTGTTCATCTTAAGATGTTGATTATTTATTATCAAGGATTTTTCCCATTTAAATTTATTAATAATTATATTAATTAATTAATTAATATTATTAATTTTCTAACTAGATTACAGGCTGAAAACACGGAACGAACTATTACGACCTTTTGTAATATTGCATTTTGCAAATAAATTATTTTATTTGATTTGAAATGTTATTGTATCTAGAGTGGGACTAAGCTATTTTTACTTCTCTGAATCAGAATATCCTATGCTGGGGGTTTACCATGTTTCATTACATGGTCCGAATTTTCGAATTCAATTCCATGTTTTTTTTTTTTCATATAGAAACCAGCCCCGTAAAAGGTGTTTAACATTTCGTTTGTCTTAAATCCTACCATAAAAGTCTAAAGGGACAATATTTTAACCCATTTAATATTTTTAAACAGTATGTATTATGTAATTTATTATTTTATCTATCTGTATATTTACCATATTTCTTGCAAATAAATATTCATTCATTTATTCATATATTTACAGTGTGTTGATTTTTATTATAAATAGTTATTTAGATAGATAGATACTTTTTAGTGGTTTACAGTAACTTAGTAAAAATCTTAGTATTTAAATTAGTATTTTGAAATTAATGTGTCGTTTAAAAAATAGTAATAAATGTATAATTAATAATTTAGAAATTGTAATTAATTAAAAGGAAATTTTAATCATAATAACTGTAAACTATAGGTTAAATAAAATAAAAGATTTATTATTATTATTTAATATATGAAACGCTAGAAAATTCAATTAAAATACTTAATACAAAATTGTTATTGACATTAGACCGGATTGATATCGATATTAAATTCAAGAGTTATCCTAATGTTTATTTATTTATTATTATTATTTTTAATTTATACTTTAATTGAGCAGGAAATTTTGGTTTTTATTTGTATACTATTGTTTTTTTTTGTTTCTTTTGTTCTTGTTTTGTTTGTTACTGTGTGAGTCGCATGATTTTTTGATTAAATTATTTCTTTCTTCCTTCCTTTCTAATACAAACTTTCTAATATTACAAAAAGGAAATTTGAATATTTAATAGTTTGGAATGGATAAATTCAAAAATTTATCCATTACAAACTACTAAAAGCATGGCCGTAGCTGGGGGGGGGGGAGGGAGTGACATTGAGGGACCAATGCCCTACCTTAAAAAGAAAGACCCCAAAAGTATTAGATACATTAGCTTTTTCGAGGTCATTTAATTATGGCTTCTTAATAAAGATAACAAAGATACTACTTATGATGTATTTAGTTTCGTATTTTTTTTAGAACGGCCATAAGTTGAACTATAAGACGTTTCAAGGTTATCCATTAACTACCGGACACCCTATATGTATTAATGAACAAATAAATAAATAAAAAATAAATAAATCTTGTACACTTAAATAACCAGACTGAATTCAAATAATTTTTATATAATTAATATGACATTTTAAATTGTTGTTCATTTATTCAACGTAATTCGAAATTATTGCAAGACAAATTTATTTAAAAACGAGCAATTATATGTAAAATATTTAATTATAATCTGACATCTAAATTGACATTAATACATGTACAATAGCTAGCTAACAATATAATTTTGCTACATCCATACAAGGTTCGTGTACTTACTCTATATAAGAAAATTATAACAACTCTATGTTATTTATTTATTACATTACATCTACTGGATGAGCTTTACAGTATTCTAATACGCTCATCCAGGAAATCATCAATACAATAACATACGAGGTTTGTCCGGAAAGTACGTATAAAAGTTTTTAAAAATTTTATTTTACAATTATTCAGGTAAATCAATTTTATCCCCTTCAAAGTACTCCCCCTGTGACATAATGCACTTGTGCCAACGCCGTTTCCACTGTGAGAAGGCTCCTTGAAAGTCCTCTGGTTGTAGGTTTCTCAGCTGCCCCGTCGTAGCTTTTTTTATCTCATTTATGTCCCCCAAATGCCGCCCCCGAAGTACCAATTTGGTTTTTGGGAACAAGAAGAAGTCACACGGGGCCAAATCCGGCGAATAGGGGGGTGTTCGGTCACCGTAATGGAATTTTTACTCAAAAACTCACGGACAACAAGAGAGGTGTGGGCAGGGGCATTGTCGTGGTGAAGAATCCAACGCCCCTCTCGCGCCAATTCTGGACGAACTCGTGCCACACGAGCTTTGAGGCGTCTGAGCACATCGACGTAGAATTTTCCATCAACTGTCTGGCCTGGAGGGACGAATTCTTGATGGACAATCCCCCGAACATCGAAAAAAACAATCAACATTGTCTTGACATTTGAGCGGGATTTTCTTGATTTTTTTGTTCGTGGTTCCCCGGATGTCTTCCACTCTTTGCTTTCACGGCCATTCTTGCCGAGTTTCGAGAGAAACTTGATTACGACGCGCTGCTCTTCAACGGAAGCGGGCTCCATGCCGACGGGGTTTCGTTAAGAGGTAACTTCACAGATGGCGTGACAAGCCAGTTCGCACCGCACGGCGGTCAGACCAGAACTGAAGCATTGTTAGGGACATAAGGAAGGGGTCCTGCGCTTACCTGGCCTCCCCACTCCTCTTTCTCGCATTCCAGAACACTTTTATACGAACTTTCCGGACAGACCTCGTATATAAAAAGGAATAATACATATAAATAAATTTAATTTCTAAATTTCTGCACACATACACTTTGCGGTCATGCGACGAAACTTCAATATTATAATTAAAAATTTGGACTATGGCAAGATTTGGCAACTAGCCAAAGTAGATCGATGTAAATAGGGGCATATAATGTTAGGACGAACACATTTTCAGCGTACTGTTGATTGGTTAATGTAATTATAGCTTAACCACACTGATCCCTCGCTGATTAGGCAGCCTCCTTATCTTAAGGTCTCGACCTCGGGAGAATATCCTAGTGAGAGCTCATATGATCTTTTACTAATCTTAATTAGCTGTATCAATTGACTTAAAAAAAATGGACGTTTCCAATTCGGTCGTATTTTTTTATGTGTGTCATCTCTTAACTTCGTCAGTTTTAAAACGATTGAAAAAATACTTTTATACAAAGACTTTTATACAAAGTCATCCTGTGGTAAAAGTAATTAATAATTAATTATTCTTTATTATAATAATAGGATTAAATATGTTTTAATTCCATTTACGATAATTTTAGATATAAAGCTACTCAATAATCAGCCAGTATCATTACAATCCGCTTAAACCTTGAATAATTAAACACGTGGAACGAGATCTGGGACAATATTATTATAATGAGGAAGTTACAGGGCTGGATTCAAACTGTAATAACAACATATTATTTGAATATTACTTATTTTATATTACACTATATATATTTATACTTTACACGTTTATTTTGTACCTCTCACTATATGTTACATATATAATAGAAGGACAACATATTTCTCTTCGTTAATTTAAAATGCTGCGCGAACATACTCGGTCACGTGACATTTGAGTTGTGACGTCACAATCATTACAAATGTTTAAAGTAACTACGCTTGTAGATGCGTCTTTGTGGGGAAAGTTTAGAAATGTGACGTCACACGACACTTAAATATGGAAGCCCGCGTTTTGTATCTTACAAAATTGCAAACACAGACAAAAAATAATAAATTTATTTTGGAAAATATTAAATATCGGCTTTTACCCGCAGCTTTGTCCGCGTGATCGACATGTGCTCACTGACGGGGGAATAGTAGCCTATAACCGTCTCCAGGGTCACATTTAACTCTAAAATCTCCAAAATTCATTATAATCGATTCAGTGGTTTAGGCGTGAAAGCGTAACAAACAAACAAAAACACATTTTTGCATTTATAATATTAGTTAAGGATTATTATATTTATAATTTATTTGTATGTTTATACAAGAATACATATGTGTATATATATAATATGTAAATACTTTATATTTTTCAACCAACTTTAAAAAGAAAGAGGTTGGTTTTGGTTTCGGTTGTAATTTTTTTTTTAAGATAAGTTACCTATTAACAACGTTAGTTCTAAACCAATTAGATTTTTTTTATCTGTTATAATATACTTAAAAACTGGTCCCGTAGAAATTTTATCAAAACCGGTTTAGTAGTTCAGTTTTTAGATTAAAATAACTGATTTTGTGACAATTGAAGCTGGTTTTATTGTGGATTCGTCTTTTAATCATTGTGTTGGATCCTGTGGAGGTTGTTCCTTTTTCCTACCTTTATCTTAACTATTATTTGAGGTCGGCGTTATATGTTTTTGTTTTCCATTCTTTTCTATTTCTATTTCTGCATTCACGCCCATTCTGGCCGTATCAACTTTCACACAGTCCATCCATATCTTTTTAGATTTTCCTCTGCCCTTATAGCCATTCAAATTCATTTTTGTGAGACACAATCTTTAATTATTTACAATAATTCCTGTATTCAGATGCGATGAAGGCGCGGGTGTAATAAATAATCAATTTTGTTTTTTTTTTAAATAAACAAATAATAAATAAATAATAATAAATATACATTTTCAGGTGCTGTGTTTACTGAATGCGGCCCAGTGCGTTATCACCTAATAACAGATGGTGTTAACTTGTTGATCGTCGACGAGTTGTTAAACAATAGATTAATAAAGCTTAGGTTACGTTAGTACTAGGGTAGCATGTTTCACAAACGAGTGACAGGAATCGGTGACATTGGAATGATAGGAGTAAAACATTATAAAATTATAAAAAAATTGCTTTTATATTAGTTGATATTTTTTTTGGGTGTTTGAATGAATAAATGAATTTTTTTCCCTTCTTTTGAAATTAGTTCCTTTCAAAGAATGATATTGAAAAAAATCTTTGTTTGTATCATCTTCATTTCAGCCATTATCCGTCCACTGCTGGACATAAGCCTCCCCCATAGACTGCCATAAAGAACGGTCCCGAGCCACCTGCATCCATTGACTCCCTGCAACGCATTCCAGGTCGTCACTCCATCTAGTGGGTGGTCGTCTTATACTCACTGCGTTTACCCGTATGTGATTGCTCTTTGCTACTCAAGAACCTTTCTTCCCCATCGGTTGTCAGTTCTTCGAGCTATGTGACCAGCTCATTGCCACTTCAGCTTGCTTATCCTTCGGGCTATCCTATATTCCTTTGTTTGTATACATATTGTTTATCTTTATAATATATTTGTGTGTTACCTCATTGTTCCATTTGATTTGATTTGGAGATTTTTTTCTTCTGTAAAGATCGACACGGATTAGTCCCTGAGAAATTTTATCAAAATCGGTTCAGTTAACAGTAGTTAGGTAGTAGTTCGGTTCAGTAGCTGGATTTTTTGTGGGACGCAAACTTTAACTATGTTGTGTAAGAAGTAAAAGCAATAAAATGAATTATGTAGTTTTGCGTGATATTGGAACAAATATACAGACAGAAATCAATTAAAAAAAATATATTTTTACTTTTATTCTTTTTTTTATTAAGATTAATATATATATATATTTTTAAATTTTATTCTAAACTACAGAACAAATTTTGATAACATTTCTAAGAGACCAATTTAACAGTATATCCTTTAAGAAAAAAAAAATCCTAATCGGTTTATAAATAAAGGATTTAACACGGCAACAAGCTTAAAAAAACGAATTGAGAACATTATACTTTTTTGAAGTCGGTAAAACTTCCTTAACTAAACCACAGATAATATAATACTATATAATATAATAGTGACTAAATAACTATTGCAGATAATATATATTCTTTATTGCACAAGTGCAAGTTACATATAAAATAATGTATTTATAAATGTTGTGAGCAAGGCTGGACTTCTCTCTGACAGAGATCTCTTCCAGTCAACCCAGTACAGTAAGAAAACATATTGTTAGCGGGCAGCTGAAGTGCTACAACTATTAATACATAAACAAATATACAGTTAAATAAAATATTAAAATATATAATAAAATATTACATAAATACATACACTATAAATACATGTAAAACCTACCTACTTATATAATAAATGTTAAAATGAATGAATATACTACTTAAATTAGAAATTTAGTTTAATGATTTTAAGATTTGACAGTTCAATTAGAAAAATACAAAAAAAAATATTACTAAGGGAAAGAAAATGTATGTACTTATAGATTAATTATGACAAAAAATATTGCACCTAAATGTTTACCTAAAGTTATTATTAATATTCATTGCAAAACAGCAATAAAATAATCAGTGGCAGCAATAAGAAAAAAAAAAATAACGACGCCATTTGTCGAAACAAAAACGTAGACCGCTTTAAGAAATTCGGCCGGTGTTTTCGTGCCGTTATCACGTCTCATTGTATATTGTATCTTATAAAAAATATATGAAAACTTTTTGGGTCCAGACTACGGGTGCCTATATTACAATAAGTTGAAGAATACGAGAGTTTGAGTGCTCCGAGGTTACGTGATGGTATTTTGAATGTGTGCGTGTATGTGTGGGTGCGATTGCGGCGTCCCACGCATTTTTCACTAAAGTCAACTAAATGACAGTTCTGACACTAATTCTATCTCACTAATATAATAAAATAACTAGACGACTGACTATACATGGGAGATAAATAAGAAAGATTTATAAGCGGGATCCGAGTAAGTACAATAGAAGCTAAAACAACTTTTTTTTTAGAAATTGTGTTGCCCTGTTTGTCTGTCTTAATTGGTCCGACATCACACCTATACTATGTCAAATCAGGTGAGGTATTCACAACTACTTACGTACGTACTTCTGAAGGTACAAGTTGAAAACATTTTTTTTTATGCAACTTAGAATGGCAAACAAGCTGACGGCCCACCTGATGGAAAGTGGTAACCGTCGCCTATAGACATAAACAGTACCATGGACATAACAGAGTATACTGTTTCGCCTATGATACCCCCCCATGCGTTGCCATTTCTGAGGACTCAGGTATTATTCCTCTGTACCCTGTAAATTCACGCCATATCCCACCCTTCAAACCGAAACACAGCCATGCAAACACAACTACTTTACGGTTGAAACACGAATGGGACAGAGGTGCCCAAGCAATCGACTTTTGTACAAAGTCTCCCTCTGGTAGATGTTATATTTTTGCATCGCCATTTAGAAGTGCTCTATATAATTACTTTTCCTATTTTGAAAATGTCTACCAAATGGCGGGAAAATAGCTAAGCTAGTAATTTAATAGCTGGAAGATTGATTACCGGCTATTATCAGAAATAAAAGATATTTTTAAACCTTGGATACGTATGTTTAATACGTGTTCCCTCGGCAAAAATTAAAGCAGCAATGAATGACAGCCAGTCTATTCATTACTGCCCTCTCCAAAAATTGTAAATACAAAAATAATTTATTATTCTAATATTATAACTTTTTTAATTAATTAAAAATTTCCAAAAATAATAACACTTCAGTTGTGACAAAACCAGTTGTTTTAATTTAAAAACAAAACTACTAAACTGGTTTTAATAAAATTTCTATGAGATCAAACTGTAAGTATATCCCTTCAAAAAAAAAAGTATTTTCCAAATCGGCTTAGAACTGACAGAATTATGACGTAACAAACATAAAAAAAATACAAACGAATTCGTTGTATTGTTGAGAACCTCCTTTTTGAAGTCGGTTGATCTTGATAATACTAAGATTTAAATAAAATAAATTCTTATTTTTAATTAATTCTAAAATGCAATTATTAGTTTTATATATATATATATATATATATATATATATATATATATATATATGTGTGTGTATATATATATTATAGATTATTAATAATATGTTTAGGTGTTATTGTAAAATCTTTATTGTATTGAATTAATTATGTATTATGTAGAATTGTATGTTACTATGAATATTATAACAATAAATTTAATTCTTATTAAAATTATAAGCGTAAAAATGAGTTTGTTTGTTATTTCTTAGCGCACTAAACAATCACTATGAAATTTGATATACACGTATTGTATGGGATGGAAAAGAACATACGAGTAGGCTACTTTTTATTCCAGTCAGTAAACATATCCTGGTCACGCGGGCAAAGTTTACGACTTCATTCGGAAGTCTTGTTCAGGGTCAAACAATTATTGGAAACAATAAACATGGTGAGTTCATAGAATTCCTGTTACCTACTATGTATAAACATATGTTGAACTCACCTGAAAATAGAGGACGATTCTACACATTGCAGTGCCGAAGAACCACGTCTCTGTCACGTCCCACAGCACGGTCGGCGGTAGACATATTAAGATCACCATAAAGTCAGCCACTGCCAAATTCACTATGAAATAGTTCGTCACTGTCCTCATTGAATGATTCCTATACACCGCTATGCACACTAAAGCATTCCCTATGAGTCCAATCACAAACACAATCGCATGAGTCGCTATCAATACCCATTCGTAAGGGTGTGGAAATATATATTCATTTAACATATCTATGTATTCTTCTCTTGTCATGTTACAAAATTCTGGATCACCAACACATGGCTCTTCTGTGTAGTTAAAGCCATCGTATTGATTATTGATATCTTCTTCGCTATTTACAATTCTTCCATATTGTATATCGGAGTCATTTATTACCTTATCATCGTTTGGAACTAATTTATTACTATTATTTGTAAACATATATTCAGCATCATCAAAAACAGGTGATGTATCACCCGAGTTATTTACAGATCTTTTATATTTATCTAAATTTAATGAAATAAATTTGCTATCTACTATATCATTTAAAATCACAACGTTTGTAAACTCCCCGTTCATGTTTTCGTTTTTTACGTTGTTTATTAAACAAATATTGCAAAACAATACCATAGCGATGGTTTGTGATATCCGTTCTATTCTTACATCCATTTTATTTGTAGTTAAGTAAACATTTTCCTCTGTATTGTTTTTGATGTGATATGTTTCCGCTCATTTTACATTCATCAGAAACTTTTGTAATCACAGTCTCGAATCCGCATTATCTGAAAAAGAAAGAAGTCATTTGAAAATATTCTGTTTGCTTATTGAAGTTGAAATGTTGGAAAGTTTGAAATTGGTATGTATTCTATGTACATTACTGTAATAGACGATGTTACGAACTTTGACAAAATTTATTAGGTCATGGTATGCGGTAAGAATAGCTATAAATGAAGATTACCTTTGTAGATACTAGGTAGGGAGACAAATTTATGGTTTAAAATTTAGTCAAGTAAATATATTTGCAGGTGTTGTCGGGAAGAAATGGGAATATATTTAGCAATTGAGTATAATTTGTAACGAAAGTTAGGTTTTAAGTTTGATTTTGGTATTGTTGTTACTAACAATTTTCCAATTATTAAAACATATTTTTGGGTTCTATTATGTCTATGGTTAAGTTTTATATGTGTATTTAGTATATCCATGTTCATAAATTATGGTTATTACTTTCTATTAAGTGGTCTAATATATCTTGTGCTTTTCAGAGTGGCGGGTTTTTTTATAGTTAGAGGTAAAATTTTTCAGGTATCATGTTCTCGTTATTTGATACAGGTGGCGAGATGCCTGCTCTATTGGGCACATAGAGTATATATATTTGGAGATAAAGTGCAAATTAGGGGACATAAAGTAAGATCGATGGCCTAAGACTGCTACTGAGATTATAGAGTGGTCGGCCCTCAATTGGGCAACCCCATCATCTTCTGATCGTCCATTGCATAGTCGACGACGATTGAATAGTCATTGGCCGTCAAGTGCGCGTTATTGGTATATTTTTTTTTTGAGAAATCTCATGTTATGATGAAATACATATAAATAATTATCCATACGAAATTATTTTAAGACTAAACAATTGAAATCCGTAGACGACTTATATTAAGTTGAGCTTAATGAGCTTTGAAGATTCAAAATTCAGATTCATCACATGTTAATCGACTTCAAAGATAACTCTCAGCTTTAATTATCTAGGTCTGAGCCTTTTGATCCGTGACAAAAGCCAAATCTGAGCGCGAAAACCCAGTCTCATTTGAATATGTAATTAGGATTTTATGCTAAAACGTAGGGTTATCCAAACGCGTTCTGGTAAATAGTGATACAGCTTTTGATTGTGTAAATGTTGCTAGATAAATGAACAAGGGTCAACTATCGTTTGGCTTACAGCATCTGTCATTTTAGTATTTTTATGTAGCAAAGGAAAGAAGGCTTTTACTAAGTTTGAAATCTATCTGAATGTATGTGATGATGTAGCTTTCAATCGAATGATTTAGTTTAAGTCTCTCGTAAAAAGTATCTTAATAAGTCTGATTTTTATATATTAAGGTTTCATGATTACGAATCAATATTGAAAATTCTTTTCGAGCCAAAAAAGCAAAACCTATTTTCTATGTTTTTATATTATCCTTGATGGAAGTGGAGCCAGCAGAGGAGGAGGTGAAGCCTGTTTTGCTAGCTCTTCTGAACGGAATATGGAAAAAGTCACTTTGACGTACTCGAGCATAATTAGAAGACGCTCGAATGAATATCGATGCCATTGTGATCTGATTATATTTACACCCTTTATACACTTTTAAACACCTGAGTCCTCAGGAATGGCAACGCATGGTTGGTATCATGGGCGAAACAGTATACTCTGTTATGTCCATGGTACTATTCATGTCTATAGGCGACAGTTACCACTTTCCATCAGGTGGGTCGTCAGCTTGTTTGCCATTCTAAGTTGTATAAAAAAAAACTTCTATCCCATATAACATTCTCTATCAGCTAATAATTAGGTAAAAAGCAGAAGCGATATGTAAGCAGAGACGTTATCTTTTTCTTTATCAGGATATTTTTAGGGGGCAAAATTGATAACGTAAACTTGTAACGTACACGAAAAAAAAAAATAGAGACGAAATTGGGAACTTCATCGTTTTGAGAGCCGCAAAAAAATGTATAGAACCTCGTCGAGTCACCTTCATCAATCAATTTCTTCGGGGTACATACAAATCTAAAACAGTTGGTACAGATAAATTAGGAATCCACTTAAATTGCTCTGTACACGAGGGTTTTCGAATAGTAATTAAATTTTGTTGGAACGCTGATAAAAAGGAGCGATTTGGGTACGTTCTCAGTTAATTAACCTGTCAGTCCGCGATTCTCACCCGTTTGCGGTAAACTGGGCACTGACTAAAAAAATATTTGGCAATCGAAATATTTATTTAAGTAGTTAAATATTTTCTTTAGATTAGTTAGCGAATTAATTATAAGCAAGAAAGTTATTGCCGTGTGGTCTCGGCATTGAATAGGCCATACCTTCCTTTCCCGTGGGTATCGTACGAGGCGACTAAGGGAGCTTATGGGAAAGGGATGGGCAGCAGCGTCCCTCTTAAAACATCTCCAAAACCTAACTGCGGTTGCCAACCCACCTGCCAAGGATGGCAACTTTCGGCAAAACCCCCCAAGGGGAGGCTTATGTTCAGCAGTGAACAGTTAAAGGCTATATGATGTGATGAAGAAAATTGTAAGCCACCATGTTCAATAATTTAATTTAATTAATAATTTAAAGTAGCGTCCCTCTTAAAATACTACCAAAAGCCTAACTACGATTGCTAATTTGCCTGCCAAGCATAGCAACTACTGGCAAAATCTCTCTTATGGAGGAAGCTTATGTCCAGCAGTGGACAATTAACGTTTGTTATGATGGTAATGACCACATTACGTAAAACTGCAATGCACGTTAAGTTAACTGCAAGTCACTGATATAGTTGTTTACCTAGATAGAGTCCAGTTACCTAGAAACAATATAGGAACAAAATTATCTTATAGCTAAGGTAACCACAAGGATTTTATTTTGATGGGTGAAAATGGTACGGTAACCCCGCCTGCGCTAACGGGTTACACTGGCGGAGCACCAGTGAAGACTGACAGATGAGAATGAAAACAGGCCAGTTAGCCCATCATGATGAATTCATCAGGAATTAACCATGATAGTTTCCAGGGAGAACCGCGAGGGGGTCGATCTGGTTGGGTATATTGCTAGCAATGGGATTCTCAGTCTACATTACTAACAATCCCTTTCCCCCCACAAGGAAAATTGTATTTACATATGAAAGTATATCTATTTTATTCATTGTTTGTATTCTTTTGTCTGTATATTGTATAAAAAAATATACACTCATTTATTCATGTGTCTGATATTTTAAACGTAATATTTAATAAAAAAAAAATGCACATTTTACGATTGTTTCCTGTGGCTTCTGGAGATTTGACACGTGAAGCCCTAATGTCACGTTACCATAGTAATTTCCAAAAATCTATTCATTGTACGTTACAGCTTGTATTATATGTAATATACGTTTTATTTATGTTACATTGAATACGTTCGTAACGTTAATTTTTGTACACGCATAATAAACACTGGGCACTGTGTAAAATTGTAAAAGCGCTTCATCTATACATGTATGAATCATTGGTTACTCGATAAGAATTATTTTGTGTTAGTTTTTAGGTGCAAATTCACAGACTGGATGCCGAACGGTTAACAATAGGCTCCGATCAGTGATCTATTACTTTGCCTGAAGATGCCTCGTTTAGATGTTTTAAGAGGGTCACTGCTGTCCATCCCTCGATTATTAAATTCCCTTAGTTGCCTCTAATGTCGTCTACGGGAAAGGAAGGGGTGGTTTATTCTTGCCAGGACCACAGGGCAAAGGTAATGGCAATGATAAACAGTGCCACATAATCATACCAATCGTCTGGTCATCGAGACAGGATACCCTGGCTTACAATATACCTTGCGACGAATATCTGAGGGTGCAACCCAAAATAGGATTTGGGGGGAAAGGGATTGTTAGCAATGGAGTTCGAAATTGCTAGCAATATTCCCTGTCAGGTCGACCTCCACGTGGTTCCCCCTGAAAACCATCGTGAACATTTCTTGTTGAATTCGTCACGATGGGCAAATTAAAAAAAAACTCGGAATAGGACTAACGGTAATGGAAACTAAGGGCCCCATTGCTAGTATTATGCCCAATCAGGTCGACCTCCACGTGGCCCCTCTTAGAAACCCTCGTACTGAATCAGTGGTCAAGGCCTATTCATCACTGACCTCCCTCTTCATCCTATCATCACTCACTGGTACCCTGTTAGCGTATACCGTTAGCAAAGGCAAGGTTACCAATCCACTGTCACTCATTAAAAAACAACCCAGAGCATAGACAAAACAATACCTACTACGTTGTTATTTCTCTATGACATATCGTGTAATTGGTTGGTAGTTTTTGGCTGTCACACGAAAATAAATGCTTCGTCAGCATTAAACATGCAAGAAACACGCGAGGTTACCTCGTATCGTGAGGACTGTTCGTGCCGGCAATTAAATATCTTTGTGTACCATGAAACAGGTATACAAAAATAATTCGTTTACAAAAAAAAGAAGGTACGTGACTAAACAGCGAAAACTCTATAATTAATCTTCAAGGGGCTTAATTAATAAATGCGAAAACGGGACAATATTATTATAATTTCCTTTAAGTCGCCACTTACGCTAAATTATCGAATTATCGCACAGAGATATACAAAAATAAAAATAAAATACAATATATAAGAAAAAAGTATAATTCCCGTTTCCAAAATAATTAAAAATTTTGCTCCACAAAAGAAAAAAACTACGTCAATAGGGGCAAAATCTGTTATTTTGATTTAAAAATCTATTTACTCGGTTTTGAAAAAACGACTATGAGACCAATCTGAAAGTATTTATTTATTTAACTCTTGATTAGGTGAGGTTACCATTACATTATCATCCACTAAAAAACCCCCTATTGGTGGGCTTTGCTAGTAGTTGCCACGCTAAGCTGGTGGAATTATAACTGCCGTTAGGCTTTGGTGACGTTTAAAGAGGGACGTTGCTTTTTTTATACTTTTTTTATAATGGAAAGTGGTAACCGTCGCCTATAGACATGAGCAGTACCATGGACATAACAGAGTATACTGTTTCGCCCATGATACCCCCCATGCGTTGCCATTC